CCCTCGGGCCCCGCAGCGCCCCCAGGTGCCCCCTGCGAGCCGGCCGCGGGCAGGAGTGCGAGGGCAGCAAAGGTAAGTCCCCGCGCGGGAGCGGGAGCGGGGCTGGGGCTCTGCCTCTTCTCCAACGCTGCTTTCCCCCCAGGACCCCAAGCTCTCAGCAAGGCTGGCCGCTCCCGCCCCACACTCGGGCTGCCCTGGCCAGGCACCTGGCCACTTGGTCGTGGTGAGCCGCACTTCCCCTCCTTTCCTGGACCTGTGTCTTTACCTCTTTTCGTTCTCTTTCATTTCCTCAGAGAGAGCCTTTTCCCTGGACCCCCAGACTCTCCACCTGCACCCCTCAGCCGACCTGGAGGAAAGTTGGAACTTGGTCTCCCTGGTTCCGATGGCCGCAGGAGAGGGTGTGGGCTCCTGCCCGCGCAGCGGGCTCTTAGAAGACGGGAAGCGCTGGGTGGGGGCACGCTGCCCTGTTTAGAGAGGGGACAGTTACCCTGGAGGCCTCCAGCCCTTCTGGCGTGGCAGATCATGATGAGCCACTGTCCCCCTCTGCACCTTCAGGCGCGGCTGCGGTCCCACGGGCTGTCGTCTCAGATCGTGATTACTGTTTGTGCATCTGCATTGGCCAGCTCTATTTCAGTGGACAGACTTCCTTTAGAGAGGGTTTGGTGGTCTGGCTTCAGATCTTGTTGTTGTGGACACCACATACCCCCTGTCACCTGGGGGCGCTGTTTGGGTTGAAACGCAAAGTACCCTCTTTCTGTGACTTCTCTGATGGAGAAGAGCACACTTAAAGGTTAAGGAAATGTGTCAGTGGTCTGCCGGAATTATCATTTGCTTTCTTTACAAGCACAACCATATTCGGCTGCCCCGACCATGCCGGGAGTTGGTGCCTAATATAACATGTGAGGTCCCGCGGGGCTGGGAGCATCTGAACCCTGCAGCCCCAGAATGTGCCTGGATGTAGTCTGGGTTCAAGGTTACACTTTCTGAGTTGGGTTTTCCCCGGGCCAGCAAAGAGGGGATGATCAGAGGGGCAAGGAATATTCCTACTTGGGCTCACTGTTGGAGGGGAGTTTTTTCCCTTTGGTTTTCATTGTAATTGAATAGCTACATGCTCCAGTTAAAGATTTGCAAACTTTTCTTTCCTATTCTTGATGTTTTTAATGTAAAGATTTTTATTTGCAAAATAGGTGGATTGCCTCCTGCTTCAATAACTATGTGATATTTGGAGCTAAGCTTCTGGTAAATTTTTGTTTGTTTGTTTGTTTTTGAGATAGGGTCTTGCTATGTCATTCAGGCTGGCCTTGAACTCACTGTGTAGTCCAGGCTGGCCTCGAGCTTGTGATGGTCCGCCTGCCTCAGCTTCCCCAGTGCCGGGAGGACAGGTGTGCACCACCATGCCTAGCTTCTGGAAAATATCTAGGCCCCTTGGTGGCCATATGTTTACAGAGGCCCTCCCTGTTGATCGTGGAGAAACTCTATGTGGCTAGGAGGTTAAGAAGTGGCCTCTGCCAACCAAAGGCCCAGACTTGGGGATGCACAGGAGTGGGAACTTACAAGAGTTAGTAACCAAGTTTAGTGTCAGGGAACTGAGGTGTGGCTCTAGATTCTGCAACTGTGAATGGCTTCCTAAATGTGCGCACAGGTTGTGCTCACAGCTTGCTGCGCTTTGAGGCACCCTGAAAACACGTGTTCTCTCTTTTTGCTCTGTCAGCTGAGTGCAGCCTGCTGTCACCATAGACCACCTCCTAGGGATTGCGTTCTGGTTCTGGGGGAGTCTGAATCAAATTGAGCACTGTCTTTGATCTTTCCAGAGAGGAGAAAGAGGTGGAGGAGGAGATTATAATGCTGTCAGGCCCTTCATCCCTAGATTTCTTGGTCATCAGGAGTCCTGGGCACTGTACCTCTGCTGGGGCAGCAGTGCTAAGTCTGGGGCGTCCTCTGTGGGATGGGAAGGAGCAGGGGACCGAGTAGAGTCCCATTAAACCGCCTACACATCTGCAAGCAAGGACTTCAGGTAGAAATTGCATCTGGACAGGTGTCTGGCATTTTGCTGCACACTGTACTGTGCTGACTCCCCACAAGCCAACTCTGGTGCCACTGCTTGCGTACTAGATGGCACTTGTCCCACCACTTAGCAGATCCCCAAACCACCTTAGCGGAGAGACCACGGGCATGCAGGCTCCTGTTTCCCCGGTAGGAAACTCCTCAGACCTGTGGGGCCTGCCAGTTGGGGTATGTAGACTTCATAGTTCTGTGGAAACACAGATAGCTCTTAGAGTGTCTGCCTTGTGAAGTTGGTTACACAGTGGGACTTGTCATGCATAAAATTTGTCAGTTCCATCTGGTTTCACTTGCATCGATTTCACCAGCACCTGGAGTCCTCCAGCCTGGTGGTCAGCATGACTGTTCAGCTCCACTTCCATGGGAGTCCTTTAAGATGAGGCTCTTTGGGACTCTGTGATACCACCCTTGAACATTTCAGACCAAGTTTACATCCCCTTTGCCTGGCGCTGGGGTTGCTGGTCTCTGCATTGGCCTTTGCTGAACACTGTATGTGTGGCTCCTAAAGTGACCTTTGAGAGTCTTGTTTTCATGGTACTTCCCAGTATGACAAGTGCTGGTGTGTGCTAAGTTTCTCAGCCTAACTTACTTGTTAATTCTTTTCATGATTTTGGAAGGACCCCCTTTAACACTTCAGAGTTGTGTTTAGGGAACTGTTTCAGGACAATCTGCCTTGCTAAGAAGGATTGTGTGAGGGTCAGGACCCCTTGCTTAGCCTGCAGGAGGCCCTGGGTTCCCTCCCCAGCACCATAGCAGACAAGAAAAGAGACCGCTGAAGGGTTTTGTGGTTTCATGTCAAGTAACTCGAAGGTTGCTTTGTAGTGTGGGAGATTTAATAAGAACTCAGATATAAGACAATTCCAATTATTTTCAGATGTTTTGATTCTGAATACTCCTTGCTTGTATTCAGGCACATGTAGAACTTACTGAGTGTTTCTGTTGGGCCAGGCCTTGTGTCTTTAGAGGTACTGTTGGCACAGACTGGCCTCAGCTCAGACCTCTGCAAGGTCTCAAGGATGGACATTTGTACACATTAAGGAACTAAAGAAAGCATGGGTGCTGCTTTTGGTAAAGGTAGGTTTTAGACGCTGCTTTGTTTGAATTGTGGTTGTTTTCTGCCTTTTGTGGTGCTAGGATGGAACCCAGGGTTTGCATGAGCCAGGTTGGTGCTCACCTCTGAGCCACACCCACTGAGTGTGGAGTACAGTGAGGTATGCAGGATATGCTTAGATCAGGCCCATTTGAAAATCTTTTCTATATCCCTAGGACAGTGGGACTAGGGTCTACTCATGGGAAAAGTGAGCCATACTAGGGGAATCACACATTATATGTGTTGGCCATGTCATTGTACAGACACTCGTGCATGCGCTACTTTGATCTTGGGATGCAGGACTCAAGACCTTGAGTCCAGGTTGTGAGGTGTAAACATCAGGTCGCAGCTGCCACTTACTGATGCATATTTCTTTCCTTCTCTTGGAATAGGAGCTCGGAGACTGCCAGGGAATTTTGAGTGGTGCATCCTTCTGAATTGTAGATAATTCCTCCCCCACTGTGTTTTATGTTCTTGTTCACACCTGATTTGACCATTTTGAAGCAGTCTGCCTTGGTTAAGTCTTTCTGAGGAACCATCTCTGTCTTCTAAGGGCAACATTTTCTTTTTTCTTTGCACTCAGCATCCTTGGTTGCATAATATAATTAAAGTATATTTTTAACATTATGAGGACAACTTGCATAAACATAGTGGGAACAAGGAGGATGGATGCCTGGTAAGGATGGGATGCCTTGGCATTGTGAGGGGACAGCCCATCCATGAGGTGCAGGGGGTGCTGCTTGGGCCAGCTGCTCACTGACTGGGGCTCAGGCAGAGGTATCGTGGCGTTTGGAAACACATGGCCCTGTGCTTTGATGGTAACAGTCGGGATTGTCCGTGAGCAGCTGCAGAGCACCTGCTCCAGAGCACTGTCAGTGGCATAGTGTAGAGCTAACAGTGTCCCTCCATGTGCCTGGGTTGTGACCATGCTGAGGTCCCTGCAGGTTTGAGAGCTGGGAAGTAACCAAGGCAAGATTTAACCTCTGCCTCTGTGCTACCTGCTGTGTGACTGGTCTTGGGTATATACAGGCACCAGAGGAAAGTCCATCAGTGGGGGACTGGATGGCCAATGGGGGATGGCAGTGCTGTGACAGTGGAGCCATAGTGTGTCCTTTCCAGAAGGCCCTGAGTGTGGAGACAGTGCCTTTGGACTTACGGCCATGCCATGTTTCAGCTGGTAGCATTAGTGCCCAGCCTGAATTAACATTTGTTGACACCGTCCGTGTCACATCTGCAGTGGCCAATAGCTGAGTCAAGCTATCTGAACCTTCTCTGTTCTTCACTCCAGTTCCCTGAGGTGGCTGTCATCAAGTAGGGACAGCTGGGCTGCAGCTTCTTTTGCTGAGTGGCACCGGTGCCTCTAGGTTAGAGGAGCCTTGTCCCTGACCAGGGTCCGGAGCCCCTACTCAAGGCTACAGAAGCCGAGGGCTACACACAGCAGGGAAGTCCATATGGTTGTGATGCAGTCCTGTTGACTTGCACGTCTGTGCACTTGTGTGGTGTGGTGTAGGGGTGTGGGGTTGTGGGGTCCTCCCCACACGTGTTGACCTGTGTTGGGGACAGGATCTTGGGGTGGTTATGGATGTTCCAGCTGAGTGGCAGAGTCTGTTTTACCTGCTAAATAGCTCCAGGTTTTGTGTTTTTTGTCAGAGGCAGTGCTCCTGATCTTACAAGCATCATTAAAGTAAAAACCAAAAGTGCTTAAAACACAGGAGGGACAGGAGCTGCTCCTGTGGAGTGGCTGCTCCTGTCGAGTCCCCTCTGTTTGGCAGCCCCCTCCTCAGTCTGGAGGCCCCCACTTGCTGCAGCCCCTGGAGCCCAGCTGCTCTTGGGATAGAACAGAACAGAATTCCACTGGCATTTTCTTTGGACTGCTGGCCTGGGGAGCATTGATGCTCTGTGCAGCTCTTCTAGCAGGACC